AAAGTTCTATGCTTATCCCACAGAACGTACTAAAAATAACAAATCCTGAAAATTTTAGCTCAATTGAATAAATCCTTCTCAAGATATCTTTTCTAGAAGGCGAAAATAACTCGTTTTGAGAAAACGAGCTTTAAACTTACAGTAACAGTACTTGTCAAAATAAAACTTCAATACCTTAAGATTCGAGTTCCGTAAAAAACAAAGCTTCGAATTTCTTTCAGAATTTTAGGTTAAGTCCCGCCTTAAGCGGAGGCTGCCTTGAAACGGAAAACGCAACAGAAACGGGCTGGAATTACAATGTAAAACAAACCAGCCTTGTACCTTAACGTCGGCTCGTTAATCATACTCGGTACACGCTCGAGCGTACTCGGTATTCGCTCGGGGCACATGGACTTGCGGTTTCCCGCGCTTTACTCTCTCCTCCACAGAGGTTCCCTAGGGAAGGTGGAAGTTGATTGGGAGTGGGAAGGCGCGCAGGGGACAATGGGAAGAGGGAAAGGCTTCTCCCTTCTTGACGTTCCCCGCGTACTTCGGTTTTCCCTCTCTTAAGCCTTGGCTCCGAACTACCAGCCTACAAGGTCAAGGCAGCACGAAAGAGGCCTATGCGGAGGACAGAGCGTGACTTACACGTCAAAACTTTGGTTGGAAAGAGTTAACGTGCTCGATTAATTGTGTGGTATTCGGTGGGCAATTTTAATTATGAGGATTCACATGAACTCAGTCATTGCTTCCCTTTCTCAATTCCCTCGAAGAAAATCGTCCATAGCGCCGCCATCTTAAAGTAGGCGTAAGACCGCCATTACCATACGAGTCGGAACATTTGAAAGCAATTTTGTGGCTGACGTATTTCAAAGCCACTGTGACGTAGTCAAATCATGAGTTGATAAGCAACGAATACACACAAAAGATAAATATTTTCAAAAATACCGCGGATCTTTAAGGAAAAGCTACTTTGCAGACGAATTTCCACCTGTCGTGGCATGAAACGGTAGGGAAAACTCCGTCCTTGTTCTTAGAAAAAAGGCTGTTGAAGCTTTGCTACAAATGTGTGGTGAATTTGGCAAGAAACGAGATGTCAACTGCAAGGGTTTTTTTTACTAGGAAGAAAGGAAAGCATCTACCCGCTATATGGTGCTTTTTTAGCTCTTTAAAAAAAACTTTTCAAAAACGGACATCTAGGGGTCTGCTGTGAGAACTGAACAAATCAGTGGGGTGTCAACGCGTAGTAAAACCAGCCAATTAATGTGGTTTTTATGGTATGATACTGCGGAGATATTTCAACAGATCAAGTATAAATGGACGAGAAGACGATTAACCACCACTGAACATATTGCAAAGTTTAAAAACATTCTCTGGTTAAAAGTTTTAAAACATGAATGCATAAACTTTTTATGAGTATTAATTCATTACACTAGGGCCATGATCCATTAGCGTGCGAGCTACTTAATTTTAACTAGCATTTTTTCCCCTTTTGTTTTATCAACTTCTTTGTATATTTTTATCATGTTGTTTTTGATACTCTTTTTTGTTCATGTACTCACTCAATTCTCATCTTTCGTCGAAGCCGTGCAGTCTAATTGCCGAAAACTCGCTTATTTTTGTTTTGTTTTTGTTTTACAAACTTTAACCTGAGAATGTTTTCAATTTTTGCAATAATTAATGTGGTCTTTTATCGCATAATCTTGCATGGAGATATCATATCCTTGATAACTATTATTTGTAATCGGCTGTATATTTTACATAAACTAGAAACCTGCTGTTTCATCTACTTCATTTTAATTTATAAGGCACGCAAAATTAATTCATCCACTTAGCTGACAATAGAAGTAAAGCAAAACACTTCATTTTAGTCCCCTATCCATCCATTTTTCTTCACACCTCCATCCGCTAAAGCTCTAACGGCAGTTTTTTTGTTTTTATGCCACTGCTCGTTCGGCACTTGCAATGTCAACGGATAAGCAGGCGGACAATTAATTCCAGCATCCGGTTTTTCCACCGCCCTTGTATTCATGGAGCTCTCTTCCTCTTTAATGACTGCACACGCTGGGTTCAAGTCCATCACGAGCTTCGGCCTCCCTGGGTCCTGACTCGTCGCGAAAAATCGCCTCGCGCTCGATCTCGTAAACGTCCACGAGCTGCGAGAATCTCCTCGCGGGCCCGTCGGATTTAAATGTCGGACATCGCCTGAGAAGATACTGCGTCGGATTCGGCGATAGACACGTTTTAGTCCATTTCGGAATTGGCTCGTGATTAAAGCATACATTATAGGGTTGCAAGCTGAATTCACTAACGATAAAACAGTTGCAGTTAGTATAAACGTTACAGGAATTGTTGCTTCGGGGTATACAGTTACTAAAGGGGGTATAGTGTAATAGGGTAGCCAACAAATTGTATACACTCCAAGGACAACATAAACCATGACAGTTTTCTTTGACGCTGAGAGATTTATGGCTCCACTTTTAAGACGCCTGTTTCTTGCATCGCGAATCTGGATGTTTACGATCGTTCTAGCGTGCCTTCTCGCTACAACATGAATCCTGGTGTAACAAAAAACGGTGATAGCGTACGGTAACACGACACAGCTGGCTGTTTTGAAGAAAATAAATCCATTTTTATCCTGGAGATGTGAAGAGCAGCTTTGGCTGGGACTTAGTGAAAATCTCCCCCAACCCACAAGAGGACACAATGAGACGAAAGTTGATTGAAACCATATCCAGACGAGAACTAACGCCGTTCTTCGCTGTGTCACAATTGTTTCATACTGAAGGCAGTTCAAAATACTGTGATAACGATCCAAGGCAATTACCGCCACCGTTAATGAGGATGCGATCCCGTAAACCGAATTTAAAAACCCGTAAAATGCGCAGACTTTGTCGTCGCTAATTTTCCTCTCCTGTGCCAAAAGCGAGTCGGCAGCTGCAGGTATGAGAATGATACCAGCCAATAGATCTATCACGCTCAAATTAGCGATGAAAAAGTTCGTACACGTGCGAAGGCGATTGTTTCTCGCTAGAACGACCAGCACCAACACATTTGAAATGATATTTACAACAGCTGTTAGAATCAACACAACGGCGAAAAATATACCTGAAGTTCGCGATGGCGTCTCCAAATTTCTATCTAATTTTGTCTCGTTTCCCAATCCCATGATAAACTCCACGTTATCCTTTCCAGCTTCCGTCTCCCTTGTTCTCTCGAGTTTTAATCTGCAAGGAGAGCTAGCTCCTCTTAAAACATCCTCTTATCAAACAGACGATCTCGCGAGTTCGTTGGAAACCGCAGAAAGCCTAATGAAGCACGTAATGTTTACCCCACAAAAACAAAGCAAAACTTTTCTCGCTTTTGATTTGATCGTATCGCCCACTACATCCATATTTCATGCGTGTTTTTCTCCACAATGGTAAAGCTGGTGACGAAAAAAGTAGGATATTTTCAGTTTATGTGAAGTTGCAAACAGTTTACCTAGCGAAATTTAGTTGCAATATTGGTCTGCATTTCGCTCAAATAGACTTTAAAAGGAAATTGACTGTATAAAAATCATTCGCATTCGGCAAACATAAAATTCATATCACAATTGTGTTTGCTTTTAATTTTGACAGAGACGGCACTTATGAATTTTGACACAGCGGTTCTCACAAATTTCTTTCAGCAGAAAACTCAGTCTTTTCAGAAATGACAGATTTCGCAACTAATTTTTTCCATATTTTGACTTAAATGATATTTTTTTCGCATTGCAAACTATGAGATAATTCGTAGAGGACCGCAGGATAATCTTAATTCTTTTTCAATATGCAGATAGCTTTGTTTCAAAGATAGGTTATAAAATATTGATGCTTTCCTTAATTCATCAATAGTCCAGCCTTGATTAAAGTTTTTCTGAAACTTTAAAATCTAACGAGAAAATTTAGATTTCACCTCAAGCTATCAAAATTTCCACCGAGGGTTGAGACTGGATAGCAATCTTGACTTTAATTTCTACATCGTCACAGTTATTTTAAAACACGCTCTCTGTTAAAAACAATTGTTCATGACGTGTTTTAGCTAAGAACGTGCTGACTATATACCACTTATTAACGATTTTGTCAACAATTCAGCGCTATCCGTCCTTAACCTCACATACTCGGATATCGCATTACTAGCTTTAACCCAAAAAGTTCTCTCAATGTAATAAAGTTCATGGAAGTTTTCAAAACATTTTGAGTGCTTCCAGTCATAGCAAGAGAGGTTAATTGAAGGCGTCTATTGAAATTCCGAATCAGCTTACTCGAAACATCGATGATATATTGTATTAATTTTAAGGCAGAGCAAATCCCTGAATTTTCTCAGTGCAGTATATCTGCGAGCTTATCAGAACTTACGGAGCAGAGCTTGTATACAGACTTGAAATGCTTTGTGTTCAGTAACAACCGTCAAATGGCTAGACAAGGTACCTTTTTCAAAATCCAGTTGACAATGTAGTCTCAATGTGTCTCTGACTTAGATTGACGCTATCTCCTTTGTATAAATAAAAAGCACATCCGCTTCTTGAAATAAAAACACACTCAAAAGCTTTCTTATAGACCCCTATGAAGGCGCCAACTGTCTTATTAACCTGCCACCTGTGCAGTATTTGAATAGAAACTATTGGACAAGTGGAAATGGGTTTATAAGCTTCGAGTAGGTGGAAGCTATTAGTGTCAGACAAATTCAGTTGACATGTTTATCAGAAAAAGGTATTCAACCAAAGATTAACATTTTAAGGTGAGGCATGATTTCTCCTAATTTCACCGATTTCAAGAAATTATATTAACTTTGAAATTTATTGAAGCTGTACCGTATTTGAACAAGATGCACCAAAAGACTCGATTTTAATTTACAATAAAACAAACAGAAACCTTTCATCGAAATTGGCTTTTAAAATAAATCGCTTTTCATTAATATTTGGCCTAGTCTTGTTACTTGTTCTTAAAAGATCTAAAGCTCCAAAACACATTCGTTGAAAATATTTATACGTACATGCTACTTTTAGTGAGAAATTTCAAGGTAGCTTCGACATCAATGAACTTGAGTTTTAATTATTGCTAGATGAATTTCAGTCAAGAAAATTCGCAGTTTGCCTTCACAGGTTATTTATAGTCTTAAGGCGCTTGGAAGTTCAATTTCTCTTTAGAAATGCAAGATGTGTGAAATGTCACGTATTTTTAATTTACTGGTACAGCCAAATTCTACTAGCTTTCAAGCGGCGAAATTTGTTGAGATTGTGTGCGTGAGCTGTCGTGCCTTTTGTACTCAGTATTAGCTATAACACAGTTAGGATACCCTTATTCTATAGCTAGCTGATACGTAAGCTATGTATTAGGACCCATATAGGCTCTTGCAGCAAGGCAAGTGAAACAAGTCGAGTAATAGCTAAGCATTTGCATTGCTGCAACAACTGTATACTCTTAAAAGCAGATTACGACTTAATGCATTTAGGATTAGCGTTAAAAAGAAAAAGCTAAGAGAGTTTAACACTTGCCGATGTCATTGTAGTGTCCGCTTGTCAAGTTCAATAAGACTGCGTTCTAATTACTTCTAGCAGAACACACAACAAAGAGTAAACGAACAAAGGATTAAGGCTACTTGGTCGGATTCTATGCGTACAAAATTACTTGTTTAACTTTTCACGACAAAGAACTCATGAGAACTTTAATTAACTAAATGTCACTTCGCCCCACTTTTAATCTACCTCTCCCCTTTCATCATTACACTTTTTGTTTTGGCTATTGTCACGAATATGCTATTACACTCAAGGCGCCCTGTTTATGAACTTAAGCGTCAAGAGCAAAGTCATCGAAGAAAAACACTCTCCATACCCCTCTCTACCCATCTCCGCTAGAGGGAAAGGTACTCCAGCATGTTACTCTGGGTATCTGCGATGTTGCTCTAAGGTTGGCTTTACTGGTGCATATAAGCGTGGTTAAACTTGTGCAGACGCATTAAGGTGCTGTTGAGTAGTGTTTATTTGGGGAAAAATTACGTAACAAAAGGTGGGAACACGTGAAGCTGGGGCCCCGTCCACACCACGCCGAAGGAAGTTGAAAACGGAGGTTTCACTCTTAAAACGCATCAATTTTTTCGTCCACACTACGCTGGAGGTATTTTAAAACGTAACGGTCGGCGGTCATTTTGGATCTGTGTTTGAGAAAAACTCGGTATTTACTGTGCGATTCTTTTGTTTTCCTGTTTCTAGCTGAACCATTTTAAATATTGCCACTGATTAAGAATATCTGAAAAGACCACTTCTAATTCTAATTTGTTCCTTAGTGTCTTAGAGTGGAATTTAACGGCGTCAGGAAGTCCAAGTCATAGATTGGAACAAAGACTTTTCAAAATATCTCTTTCGAAGTTTAAATAAACCAATCTTTAACATATTTTCAGCTGGTTCTATTGTTTAAACATCTCAGTCTGTAGATGTTAGAATACCGTACTTTGTTGCGCAGCTAAGTAATCAATAAAGTTAATACGATTTCGAGTTTCAGAAAGCAGTTACATTTATTACTCACTCAACCTGCTGTTCTTTGTCCGTCACGAGATGTCTTGGATACAGCCAAGTATAAGAATCAGTGCTCTTGTTATTTTGTTCTTTTTAACACATTTGGTTGATGGGGTAAGTAAGTATTCGAACTTTTTTCCCCTCTTTATCGATATTTTCATATCTGACCGACATGTGTTTATTTCACGCTGTTACAGCTTACAAAGCCAACTTTAGTCTAAATCATTCACTCGAAAATCCATGAAGGTGAGACTTATCATTACAGTACTCAAGTTTATTCCGCCTGCTATTTTCTTGCTGCGCTACGAGCGTACAACTGTCCCAACTGTAGAATATCAAAGCGGTTTTAAATGGTACTTCAGTTGCAAATCAACCAAATGTATGATAACATTGCGGTCATCAGTTCTTCACTCCAGTTTTTCATTCATTCATTCATTCTGTTTATTTTGCCTTTTTACTTAATGTACAGTATTTAGAAATATTTCAATGTGAGGCGAGGTTACCTCTAGAAACCATCAGGCTTTTAGTTGAGGCCACCTCGTACGTAACAATACGGTTACATAAATAGTGCAACAGTGTGCGGCTTTGCCAGTTCAGTAATTAGTTTCCTCATGTTCAGTAGTTACTTAACAGTCTGGTTTATTTATGGTAATCATTTGTGTTTTATCATTTGAGTCCACCTTATTCCTAAGTGATTCCCTCAAATTATCCTTATCTTGGTTAGAATGAACATTTCGGCAACGTTACTCAAATAAAAGCTGATCAAAACGTGATTTAGCGAGTTGCATAATTTGTCTATCCTAGGCAGACCTATCTGGCCGTGAACGTGAGCTAGCCTCTTCTCGGCTTTCACAAGCTAAAGAAGAGGATGGGCCCCTATCACCAGATAAAACATGCGAATGCCAACCCCACACAATGATGTGTTAAACACACATACCTTGTAATTTACACGTTGTCGCACGCAGGACTTTTTTAGCGTCAGCTCGATGCTTGCATCATGTGAAACTCACACTCTACTTCTTTTATCATGTAGCTTGTTTGACAGTGATCTTTTCTTACGTGCCTTTAGAATATGAAATCATAGTTACAACCGCCGACGAATACCTGGCTGGGACAAGCGCAAAAGTCTTTATTAAAATTATCGGGTTGGGGAGTGGATGGTCAGACAACAGGTTCAATTGAGTTGGGCAGTGTCGGAGTTAATGACTTTGAAAAAGGCTCGTAAGTAGGCTGAAACTCAGTGTATTTTCTCCTGTTCGTGTTTTAAAGAAGCGTACGATTATCATTTATTCGTATGAAACGTTTTACTCTTCCTCCAGTAACGCAAAGGTCGTGGGTTCGGATCCCGTTCAGAGCCTGAAATGTTTTCAGGTCATTTTTCCAGTAGTGTTATGGCTACATTCACATCTTTCATTCTTTCTTCCTCCAGTGACTAAGGATTTTAAGTGCGTTTAGACCCTAGCGACCATTTTAGTTCACCGTTCATTTGCATTGGCAGCACCCACCCCGAGGAATGAGCCACTCCTGGGAGAATCCCCTTGTCTGGTCAATACCCCAACGGACAGTTTTGTAAAATGTAACCTAACCTCTTCATAAAAACGAGCTTTTGGTCAACCCTTGCGATGACAGAGATTAGAAATTCGTTAGCATGGTAACAGAATTATTTACTTTTGAAAAGTGACAATGTTTGTATCCGACTCAACTCTAGCCTCGCTTCTGTGTTAAGACCTGACCACTAAGCACAAAAGTGTAAAATGGGCTGTTGGAACTTTCGTTCGAATGACTGTTGAAGACATCTTGTGCACGTTAATTACTTGTCTGTTCTGAACATAGTTAATAGACGGTAACAAAATTCTTTGTTGCATGTTTTGTTCGGGTTTTTGGCCTTGATCGTGCACAAAACATGTAGTTAATTTCTATCCAAACAGCTCACTAACAGAACCGTTTGGGCTACACACATAATGTATGAGCGCAAAACAAAAGATTGTGCACACTCGTAGACCTTCTAACACAAATATTGGCATCAT